ACACACACACACACACACACACACACACACACACACACACACACACAGTGGTAAGAATGCTAACAAGGCAGTGTATTCCTATTGAGACTTTTGGGTCTAGATGAGGGGTGGGGAAAGGGCTACAGGTGTTGAGAGTGGTATATGCTAGCACCAGTGATATTTTATGAAAATGAATATTTGGGAAATTGACGTTGAGTGCCATGTCACATAGGTTACATTTTCTTACTTTAAATCTTAAAGATTAAAAATACATAATTTACCTTTTGAAACAATTTAAATCTTACACATTTAAAAAATCAGCCAAAGACTGCTTCTTTTTTTTTTTTTTTTTTGAGGAAGGGTCTTACTCTGTGGCGCAGGCTGGAGTGTAGTGGCAGTGGTGCAATCTCGGCTCACTGCAGCCCTGACCCCCTGGGCTCAGGTGATCCTTACACCTCTGTCTCCCAAATAGCTGGGACCACAGGTGCATGCCGCTCAGCCTGGCTAATTTTTGTATGTTTTGTGGAGACTGGGTTTTGCCATGTTGTCCTGGCTGCTCTCAAACTCCTGGGCTCAAGTGATTCACTCACCTCGGCCTCCCAAGCGCTGGAATTATAAGCATGAGCCACCGTGCCAGCCACCATGCCTAGCTGAGATTGCATATTTTTAAAGCAAGCACAGTATGATTCTTATTTATAGCATTGCCATATGACTATTTCATGAAAGAGAAATAACCATCACCTTTTGTCAATATTATGGGATTGACACTTTTTCATGTGCAACAAAATTTTGAGGAGTAACTTTGATTATTGCTATTTTATTATTCTAATGCTTGGTGTTATTTGAGTTGTAAATTTTTGTACACTCTTTTTCCTTTTTTTTGTTTTTGAGATGGAGTCTTGCTCTGTTTCCAGGCTGGAGTGCAATGGCATGATCTTGGCTCGCTGCAGCCTCCACCTCTTGTGTTCAAGCAATTCTCCCGCCTAAGCCTCCTGTGTAGCTGGGATTATAGGCACCCACTACCATGCCCAGCTAATTTTTGTATTTTTAGTAGAGATGGTGTTTCACCATGTTGGCCAGGCTGGTCTCGAACTTCTGACCTCAGATGATCCACCCGCCTCGGCCTCCCAAAATTCTGAGATTCCAGGCATAAGCCACCGTGCCTGGCCAATTTCTATATTATCTTAACAGCTACCAAAATATTCTTAATTGGTAGTAGTGGCACAAGTATGAAAAAACACAACTGAAATCCAGTAACTTTGAAACATGAGTTAGACATGATTACAATCCACTAAGAAAACAAATGAGACGTATCTAATGCTATTAATTTATGAGAGAACACTCTGCAAAATAAAAATAACGTTAAGAAAGTACAGAGTAGTATTAATACAAAAAATGTGCTATAAGGGCAATATATTTAACAGCTCTAAAACACATTCTCTCTGATATTATAGGGAAGAAGTAATTCTAAAATAATGCACATTTTGCATAATGCTATCTCCAGGTATGCATCACTTAGAGGAAACAAGTCACATAGGAAACTGTTTTAGGTAATTGTGGTGAGGAAATCCTGAAGGTATTATTTGGAAATACAATGTTAGAATTCAAGAAAGAGGTCCAATCTGGAGCTATTAAGTTGCAGTTGTCTGGGTAAGAATGACAATTTAAATCATGAGAGAGGATAAACTTGCCAAGCAGAGTACAGATTTAAGAAAAGACCAAGAACATAATCTTCTCAGGCCACCAACTTCAGAGGATGAGGAGCAGCAGCAGAAAGGGAGGGCACTTTCTGAGAGCCTAGAATGTGCCAAGAAGGGGTCATGCATAAACCTGGAGCATCTCATTTAGTCTTCCCGACACCAGTACATCAGCTGTTATCTATGTCTGGTTGTAGAATGAGGGCAGCAAGAAGTGAAGGTGAAGCAGCTTGGCCTGGGTTTTGCAGGTCTATCTGACTTCACTGCTTCCTTGAGAGACATGAAATCAAGGCATAAGTTAGCCAGACATAGAAAAATCACCTGCACAAATTTTAAGTTGGAGAGGAGGGAAGCTGGGGTAATGCAAATGAAACAAACTAGAATTCACTGCCTCTGTAAATGGCCACCCCCCTCATCTATCCAGTTCTCAAAGCCACAAATCCAGGGATCATCATCCTTCATCCCTTTCTTACTCCCACATTAAATTCACCAGCAGGTCGTGGGAGTTCTACCTCCAAATTATATCCTCTTTTTATCATGTCCACTGCCCGCCACTTTAGACCAACTCATGCTAATCTTTTCTCTAGAAAGCTCTGGTCACTTTCTATCCTGTGGCTACTCTTGCCCAGAAACAGGCCACTCTCCACTCTCCCTACAGCAACAACACCCGTAAACTCTTGACAACCAGGATGCTCCTAGAGCAACTGCATCTGCCCGTGATCACCATGACCTCAGAGTCAGTCACCCTTAACTGCTGTTCCTACAGAATAGGATAGCTGCCCATACCTTCTTCTCTGACTTCCATGACACCTAGTGGTTTTCTTACCTTTCTGGCCTTTCCTTCTTGTTACTGGAATATTGGCAAAACCTCTAGGCACAAGTGATAAGGTGAGTGTCAACACTTGATTCACTCTCCTTGGTTCAAAGTGAAGTCACTCAACTGGCTGTCAGCCCTACCCTCTAAAATTCCACCTGAAAGGGCCCAACACTGAGGTCAATCAGAACGACTTAATGCTGAAGGACAAAAATTGAAATTTCCCAGGCACCATTCTAAAATGGGGAGTGTTTATTCCCATATGCTAGCTGAGCAAGTGGACAGTGTCTACAAATGTCCACGGGATTCACCTGTCCAGGTACTCGTATCTAAATATACTATAAACCACAGTTTTAACTTGGGTCCTTAAAATAGACTGGCTAGAATCTATCTATTTTTACAATCCTGTATTGTAAAATGAAGTGTATATAGGACACTCAACATGTATTTTAAACATAATTAACAACAGATATAAAGTGAGGATCTTGTTTAATTACCAATCCCTTCTTACCTCTGTACTGGAGAAAACCAATGGATAGTTTATTCTGTATAAAGTTCAGGAGCTTGGCCCACCTTTAGCAATATTTTCTCTTTCTTATTAAATGAGAAGAATTATTTTCTTATAAAGAAATAGTCATATCTTGGCCAGGTGTGGTGGCTCACATCTGTAATCCCAGCACTTTGGGAGGCTGAGGTGGGCGAATCACAAGGTCAGGAGATAGAGAGCACCCTGGCCAACCTGGTGAAACCCCATCTCTACTAAAATACAAAATATTAGCCAGGTGTGGTGGTGCACACCTGCAGTCCCAGCTACTCAGGAGCTGAGGCAGAAGAATTGCTTGAACCTGAGAGGCAGAGGTTGCAGTGAGCCAAGATCATGCCACTGCACTCCAGCCTGGCGACAGAGCAAGACTAAAAAACATAAATAAATAAAGAAAAGAAAAGAAAACAGGAAAAGAAATAGTCATATCTTATGGGTTGTAGGAAGATCCTAATCTCATTTTTTCCTGTAAAAAATACAGCAAATTTTTGTTCTCTGTTGACTTTATTTGCACTTTGATTTTGATTAAGGACACTGTGTGGTTGTTGGGATAATAGACTATGCATGTGAGCGGAACTGGGATGAAGTCGGCAATAAGCATGACCACATTCAGCTTAGAACCTTCTTTATTAAGGAAGGTCTTTCAGGCGCTTTTATTAACAGGTACATATAAGCTTAGCAAGAGCATCTTTCAAAGTCACAGTTCTAGTGGTTTCTGTCAGGTCAACCAGAGGCAGAGAACACAATAATGGTGGCTTACTGTCAAAATCATGACAAGTTGTCAACCTAATGCCTTCTGTCAAACACAGCCACCACCCCCTCTGCTTCTGTCCTGTGATGACGGGAAGTAGGGATCCAAGACTTGATATTAATGTAGATCACATGTGACACTTGTGTGGCCAGCAGATAAGGCCCGCACCCATGCCCAGGCTCGGACAACATGGTGGCTCCATCTTCTGTGCCAGACCTCCTCCTCGCTGCCATGTCTATCCTAGACCTTGAAGTGTCTGATCCTCCCTGGACACAGAGGAACCGCTGGCCCAGCAGCAGCACCAACTGCGCGTGTTTTCCGCGCTTCTCCCAAGGCTGTCATCCTTAAACTTCCACCCACAAAGAGGTGGCGAAGGTCGTAGTGCACCAGGTGCAACGGGAATCCTAGGGGATTTCCCATTATAAAAGGTGGGCTAGCATGAGCGTGAGCATCTGCGCCAGATGGAGGGAATACAAGTACATCTTGGTCCACCGCAGGGGCGAGGCCTGCCGCATCAGCACCTTCTGGCTGGGGCTGTGGGGCCGCAGGCTGGAAAGAGGACCATTTCCTTCGGTTAGTTTGCTTTCTCCTCCCAGGCAAGACCACTCACAGGTCCAGGTGGCACTCATACCCAATTTCCTCACATTATACAATTTTTTATTTGCAAAGTGTCTGGCAAGAAAGAACCTAGCTAGGTACAAGGGATTGTCATCAAGGTTACGAGGAGGAGGTGGCCCCAGTCTCACCAGGATTGTCTTGGTGATGGTGGACTTACATGTCCTGTGAGTAAAAGCATCCCATCTATGGCTTACCCTTGCCAGCACTGCCACCCTCTTTGTCAGCTGAAGCGGCAGCGACAGGGAGCTGCCAGGTAGATCTGGCCACCAGGTCTCTGCAACTCAGAAAACCACTCTCACCTCTCACAAATGAAAAGATGGCCTTGTCAACTACACAGTAAGACAGTTCTGCCCTGTAGTCACTAGTTGATGGGAGGGAAAGGAACAGCTAAAATATCCTTCCCTCTGTTGGTGATTCCACAGGTATGTGGAATTATACAGTGTTGTTTCATACTGTGAGGTTCAGAAGCACAGGAGAGCAAATGTCCTATAATCTCTACTGCACTGCATAAATGTGAAGGGGTCATTGTATTCTGAAGGCCCAGGCAAGAATATTCATGGAGCTGTTACCTGTGATTGGAACACCGTGCAGGTCACTGCAACCTCTTCTCTGTTAAGCTTCTCAGTGAGTGTCGCCTTACAGAAGCCATATTGCTGCCCACAGAGGGAGAGGAGTAATTTTAATTGATTTGAAAAGTGGATTCCCCCTCCAGCTTCATTGACACTCCAATATATCAAGGCAAACAAACAAACAAACAAACCCTTAAATTAGTTTTAAAAACCATTTTTCTTAAAGTTACAGTTTCTGCTTATGGAAGGCATATAATACTGTATATAATATGGAAATACAGAAACACTTTGAAAGTGAGAGAGATTACCCATAATCCCTTTCTGGTGGTGACCTGTGAGAATGACTGTTGACATTGATGCACTTCTTTCTTATTTTAAAATACTATTAAATATGATTTAAAAATTGAGATCATTGTAACTATATGATCCTGTGGTTTTCACTTGCCATAATAGCATTTTCTCATATCATTCATTATTCTTTGAAAACACAATTCTTAGCATCTGCACAATTTTCTATTTATTTATGTGCATGTTTAATTCAATGACACCTTCCTGTTGGACATACAGATCTGTCTTCTTTTGGTCTCTTTAGATCTATAATAAATCATTTTAATAGATATATTCTGTCAAACATCACCAATGATTTCTTTAGACTAAAATCCTAGACGTGTACATTACCAGCTCAAGGACTTGAAAGTTTTTATATCAGAGTTATATGTCTGGAAAATGTGCACTTCACTCTCCGAGCACTGGGTATAACTTGGCTTCATAAGCAAATAGTCTCTGTCTTTCTCCTAATTCCATGGGCTTCCAGTGAGTGAGATGATTTGGAGACAGCTCTTAAAGGGGCGAGGTGACACCCTAACGGAAGGCCTGCCACAATCCACAGGGAGTGGGCATTTGCACTGTCATCCTCTGTCTGCAGCCCCAAGATACAAACTACCCAAGGGTGTTCTGTTCCACAACCAGTTTTGCCTCGGGAGGTAACACCACAAGGTCCTGGCCCACTCACCTTTTGTGCCAGCAGTTTGCACTCGGCTGCCTCTGTGGCCTCCTTAGCAACACAGTCAGGCGCAGACATTGTAAACTCCACATAGGTAGAAGGTGGGAGAGGCTGAGAGGAGTACATGAAAATGCTCTTGAGGAAACATGACTTAGAATGAAAAGGGCAGACAAGGGGAGCAGGAAGTAGCCTCCTTTAGGGAGCACCATTCATGCAGACCAGCTGTGGGTCCAGGAGACATATCCCTGAATGGCTTACATAGGGCAGCTGCTATGGGATTGTGTTCTGAACTGCTTATACTTTAGAGATAGAGCTTTGCGGGAGGGGCAGGTACCCCTTACCCGTCAATCAATGTGGAGGTGAGTTTGCAGATAGGAAACAGGAATCAGAGGGCCAGCCTTAGACTGATAAGACTGGGAACCCTGCCTCCCCGCAGCCCTCACTCTTGGGCTGCACTGGAGACCCAAGATTCAGGTTACTCCAAGATAGGGTGGGAAAGTGAAGACAGCAATTCCTCTTCCACCTGTTTCATAGAGCAGGGTCAAATGAAAAGATTTAGGTGGAAGCATGGAAGATATCACTTGAGCTTTGCTTTGGTATAGTAGTTGGAGCATATGGACACAATAAAATATCTGTTATTTGGTGTAGTCTGGGATGGGGATGTTCTGAGAATCACATATTCTGATTAATAGAATTGCCATCTATACTAGTGTATTTCTGAGTATGCCGTAGCCGATATCTAGAATACATTTCTAATTCTGTCACATTCAAACATGCTAAACCACCACAGTACAATGAGATGTCTTCTCCAGTGACTCGAAAGGCATTTTAGGATCTTGCCATTATAAGCTTGTCAGCACAGGTAGGCTCATGCCTTTATGAGTATTAATTACGAATCTGTGGCAGATGTTCAGCTGAGATGTGTGATAATGGACTCCAGTGAATTTACAGTGAGTGCTTCTGGCCGATGGACGTGGGAACCTCTACCCAATGATGTGGAGCTTTGGCTTCAGCTGGAACTGAGGGAGTGGGGATGTGCCTACCTGCAGCGGTGGCTGCTGGACGTTAGAGTGGCTCAGCATGGGGGACGCGCTGAGGTGTTAGGGTCCTGATGACACTCGGGGACCTCGGGGACCTCATACCCCTTAGGACGTATTCTTCCCTTCCAAGCAACACCTCCCCCCTCCTTGCTTTCTCATCATTGCCCCTGCAACTGTTCTTCCCTCCTTCCCGCTCCACCACGTACAGTACATTCCCGAAGTGCCACCGAACTGCCCAACCTGTCAAAAGAATCTGTCTTTACCACAAACTGAACCCGGGAAATTTCCTCCAGCTGAAAAACGGAGCCGTTGTTTTGAGCGTTGAAAGCGGCCAGGGCAGCATCCGCGGCGTGCACTGCCCTGGTGTCGTTCAGCGGGGCCAGCAGGGGGCAGTCTTGGCACACCTTGCGCACGTCCTCGGCCGAGTCTGCTCGGAGAGCGGAAACCCAGATGTGGGCAGCCATTCTCCGTGGCTGCGCCCCAGCTCTGCGGCAGCAGCAAGGGCTGAGGCATGCCCCACGTGGCTTCAGGCACTTTCTCTACTTCTCACTAAACCTTCAAGCGGCTCGTGCCATGCTGACATTTCTGCAGGAGCCCTTATCATCTCGGGGCAATTTTCACCTCTAATAAAAATAACTTCTTTTCATTTTTTTGAGACAGGGTCTCACTCAGTCCCCCGGGCTAGAGTGCAATGGCGCAATGCCAGCTCACTGCCACCTCTGCCTCCCGGGTTCAAGCGATTCTCCTGCCTCAGCCTCCCTAGTAGCTGGGATTACAGGCGAGCACCACCACGCCCAGCTAATTTTTGTATTTTTAGTAGAGATGGGGGTTTCAGCATGTTGGCCAGGCTGGTCTCGAACTCCTGACCTCACGTGATCCACAGGCCTTGGCCTCCCAAAGTGCTGGGATTACAGGCGTGAGCTACCACACCACAAGAGTAGCTTCTTAAAACACAGTTTTAAAATCCCAGAGCCCAGGAAATTTGACTTCCCCTTTCCTCACCGACAAAGTGGCTAGAACTACTTAAGTTGAAAATCATTCTGATCCCTTCCCCACTTTCTCTACAAGGAAAAAATAAGAATAAGAATAGTCATCTCTACCTGGACTGGAATCACATTTTGCATAGACCACGGAAAACTGGCCATTTAGTTTCAACAACCGGAAGTCACACTCTCCTTCGACAGCCTGGAGAAAGAAACCCCCGTGAGGATGGCTGGCCTTCCCCTTCTCACCCGGGAAGGTTCCCTCCAGGCACGGCTGTCAAAATCGCCTTCGCTGGGAGATCCTGAATCATGGCACTCTCTGCTTTCAGGAATACAACAATAAAGTTAAACGCTTGTAAAAATCAGCCCCAGGGCAGGTGGCATCAAATGGCAATTTTATTTATTTATTATTATTATTATTTGAGATGGAGATTCACTCTTGTTGCCTAGGCTGGAGTGCAATGGCATGATCTCAGCTCAATGCAACCTCCACCTACCGGGTTCAAGCGATTCTCCTGCCTCAGCCTCTCGAATAGCTGAGATTTACAGGTGCCCACCATCACGCCTAGCTAATTTTTGTATTTTTAGTAGAGACGGGGTTTCACCATGCTGGCCAGGCTGGTCTCGAACTCCTGACCTCAGGTGAACCACCTGCCTCGGCCTCCCTGAGTGCCGAGGCACGAGCCACTGCTCCCGAGCACAAATGGCAATTTTAGAGACTGCACCCAGGCTAGCCAAGGAAGTGAGCTGAGAAGCTGGGTGAATCCGTGGAACTGGCCAAAGGGCCACCCACAGCCTCCCTAAGAAGGGTACTCACATGCTCCATCAGCTGTCTCACGCTACAGTTTGCCACAGGGGTGGGGTCCAGCGCATGGCAGGTGGTCTCCAGGGTGTCTATTTCCATCTCAAACACCTCTCCGAAGGGCCGCTGTGGAGACAAAGAGTGAAGCCGTGAGCCGCTCAGTCCGCTGATCTGTGGTGCGGGCCATGCTGTGCGCCCTCTTTGGGCTTGAGCGCACCACCCTTTTGGAGAGGTGAGCGAAAGCTCATTCTCACTGTCAGTCTGCAACTCGGACTAGCTCTGAAGCGGCCTGTGGGCAGGACAATGACCAGGGCTTATCTGGTCTTTGTTGATTAGGCAAGCACCAGATGATGCTCGCAAGGCGGAGGGGTCAACTTCGGCCTTCCGGGTTCGAGCGATTTTCCTGCCTCAGCCTCCCGAGTAGCCGGGATTACAGGCGCGCGCTACCATGCCCGGCTTTTTTTTTTTTTTTTTTTAAGTAGAGACCGAGTTTCTCCATGTTAGTCAGGCTGGTCTTGAATTCCCGACCTCAGGTGACCCTCCCGCCTCGGCCTCCCAAAGTACGAGGATTACAGGCATGAGCCACCGCGCCCGGCCTTTATTTATGATTCTTAAGATTTCACTCTTCAAACAGTGCTTTGGAAAATCCAGGATTGGATTTTTCTCAGACAAGCTAGAAAATAAGGTGGAGTAGGGTAATATCTTACTGTCTTTTTAGAAACCTTCTCTATCCCTGCCTCTCCTTCTTTCTTCCTTTTCATTATTTACTTTCCTTCCTTCCTCCGTTTTCTTCTCCCTCTAGAGGTTTTTGTTGCTGTTGTCCTTGGCTTTTCCTTTCTCTTGGCTTGTGCCGCCGATGCCGGCACGCAACGAGGCTGCTCTCTCCTGTCCCCTGCTGGCGATAATGGGGAAGAGCAAGTCTCCCTCTGAGGATACCGGATGGCACTAGTGTAGACACGAGGGAGCGTCCATCAATCTTTGGAGATGTTCTTGTCGGTTCACCTGTTTCTGTATCCTGTCGTTGAAGCCTGAAAAATCCAGAAGGTGCAAGAATGCCTTTTCTCCCCTCAGCCCAGCTCTGCTTGCCACTCATATTGGTTCTGCCTGGATCACTGGTACCTGAAGCCTCAGAATCTCCTTCCCTGAGAGAAGCTCTGCATTTTATGATGTCCAGGTGTGCACAGAGTGACGGCCTGAAAGCGTTCCCAGCACTGGTGAACAGGAATCGGGTACACCTGAGTTTCTCAAGGAACCCAACCCTGAAGCTCTGCCTTTAATGAAAATCACAATGCCCATTCATGATCACCTTTTCCCTCAGATGTTCGTGTTACGTGTTCATTTCCCCTGAGTTGATCAGCGTTTCCTCCTAATTACCATTGTTCTTTAATATGACTACAGCACTCTTAAAATCCATCCAGAGCAATCCTGATCTCAAATACTGTCTCTTTGTGAGATGCATGGCAGTCCTCAGTCAGTACAGGCTTCCTGTTGACCTTATTTAAGGTTGTAAATTTAAGATTGTAAACTCTCGTGGGCACATATTATGCCTTTTTCACCGTTGTATTGGGTTGAACCATTAAAATGGCCAATATTTGGTTGCTTTTGATATAGAAAAATGGCAGTTTTATATGATTCAACCTAATATCTCTGGTTCTTGTCCAAGGAAGGCTTGTAATACATATTTGCAGAAAGAAATATCCTTAATCAGAAATAAAATCTAATTTCAAAATAGGCAGTAGACCGACAGCTTCTTCCCACATCTCCAGATCTCTTCACTGACCCCAAAGGCATATTTCCAGCTTGATTTTTCTTGTCACTGGCTTCAGGCTGTGTGAGTTTCCTGTCTAGCGTGCGAGGAGGTGAATCCTGTTTGTGCCAAGACTTCCGTTTGGGATGTGGGTAACTCTCTTTGGGAGGCAGTTTGTGTAGAAGAAGGAACACAGATCTGGAATCAAATCCCAGCCTCAATATTTAGTAATTATAAGCTCTTGGGCAAAAAAAACAACAACAATACAACAGAGCTTTAGTTTCCTCTTGTGTAAGACGAGAACAGCATACGTACCACAGAGCACTGGGAGGCAGGGACTGGGAAGGAGTAAATGAGGTAATCTATGTGAAAGGGCCTGGCATATAGTAGGCATCTGCCAGATGCTAGTTTCATTCATTCTCAGTCTTCGTCAGAGAGAAACCAAACCAAAGACAGATAAGTGATTTTCAGCCAATGGTAACTTGGCAACTCAGAGCTGGTCTCTTGGGTCCTAATTTTCCAGCAAGTTGCACTTTACACCTGTGATCTGCAAACTACCATTTGAAACATTTTTTTCTTCTGCACACCACCCCACACCCCACCCAGCTCCCTTCTGAGACCCACGACTTCCATACAGAATGTCTCTCCCCTTGCCCTCTGCCTGCCCCTTCCCTCACTCCTGGGAAGAAAGCTGAGAATTTACTCCTCTGTGGTTTCACTTGCACTGGGAGATGCTGATCTTTTGAGGCACCTGGTTGAGCTCCATGTACAAATTATTTCAGCTCATATACAGAAGGTCCACTTACCCGAGGCCACACGGTTACTTTATCAATCTGGTTCAAGGTGTGTTTGTATCCCGAAGGAAGGTTTTGATTGATATAGTCTACAGCTGCCAGAGCTGCTTCCTCTGTTTCTGGATCATCGCAGTTCAGTTGTCTGTACTGCAGTACTTGGCCTTGTGGGGCTGAGTGGCAGCCCCAGAGCTGAGCAAGACAAAGGAGCAGGACGAGGGACTTCATGGCTGCCCCAGAGAGGTCCTGGCAGGTGTGCAGGTGGCTGGAGGCTGCAGGACAAACCCAGGTGCTCTGCTGGGAAAGGCAGACCCATGGAGGGTCGTGGGCTTTATTTATCTGTTGGAGCCTGCCGAAAGAATTGCATAAGGATACAGGATGATTTCTGCTTTCGTTCCAAAAAAAAAACCTGCAAACATCAGCCTTGGAAAAGCAAACAGTAAGTTAGGATGTCGCTGGTCCCCAGGAAATCTGCCAAAGTCCATGCTGCTGTGGGGGAGGTGCTCCAAAGTTTGCTTGGAACATGGTAATAGCAGCAAAGAGAAGACAGCTGAGGGGTTGAGGTGGGCATGATCAGCCTTAGAGTGCAGTGGGTCTGGCAGCAGAGGAAATGTCCTGTGCTGTGAGCTGAGCGTGCCATGGGGTCTATGAGAGGGAAGGGGGGATACTCAGCAATTTGATAAAATTCTCTAATATTGGGGGGATTCACTTTTCCAAAAAGAGTCCTCCAGGGAGAACAAGGCCCACAGATATAGCAAAGGTACAGATATGCTACGGGAGATGCCAAGATTTGGGGGGAAGATTCTTGGAGGAAAGAAGAAACAATGAGAGATGTTTCTGCCTGTCATGGGGAGTGGAGGTGGAAGGAGGGAGTTCCTGTGGCAGGAACAGGATGGGAAATGACCAGCAAGACCATGTAGGGTTCTTTGCCCCTTCTCTTCCTTCTCCAGACCTTGCTGCCAGAGTCCTGCAGGTGACAACACAGATGGGCACTGATCTGAGTCTCCTAGCTGGCTGAGCATGATTAGCGCCAGTAACCTAGTGCCCCAGCCAGCGCTCAAGCAGCAGAGGGGAGTCCTGATATAACAGCTACTCATTTAACACAGCTCTGGGTTTGAGTCCAACACTGCAGGCTGAGACGCTGCATGGGCAGCTGAGGACACAAATGCCCCTTGAACACCCTTTGCAGACTCAGCAGAATGGCCAGTGTGTCTTTCTGGACAGAACGCAGGGCCAGTGTTGACTCCAGGCATTGCCTGTTAAGTGACTCTTGACAATCCTAGGAGTGACCTCCAAGGAGGGCTGGCAGGATAGTGAGAGGCTTGGGAAATATCACACAAGGACCTGGTTTGGTTTAGCCTGAAGCAAAGAAATCCTCTCATGGAGACCAACATGTTCTTCATATATTTAGAGGTCATTATTGTGTGTGGGTGGATTTGTTCTAATGTTTGATACTGCTTCAGAGAAAAAAACTGGTTAAAAAAAAAAGGAAGCAGAGGGGCCCCTCCAAAGGGAAGATCAATATTGGTTTTCTGGGATAAGGACCAGGGTGAGGGAGGTGAAGTGTGTGGTGATGGAGCAGAGAAGGTAGCTGGGAGGACTGTTTTCACATTTACTTCCAGTTGCTCACACACTCACACAGAATCTTAATGACAGAAGCTGGGAAGGTGTGGCCGGGACTCCAGGTTCTCTCCAAGAGGGGGAATATGACTCTTCCAGATGTAAAACAAGCTCTGGTCATTCAGCAAGATGATCCTCAAAGCCAGGACCAACTTTCCATCAGCCTCATGCTCCGTTTCACTCATCTGAACTGTATGTGGAAGCTATGCTTTTCTTTTATATAATCTTTAAAAATACTGAATAAAGTGTGGTGTGGTGGCACACACCTGTAATCCCAACTATGGAGCCAGGATGACTGCGTAAGCCTAGGAGTGAGCTTTGATCACACCACTGCACTCCAGCCTGGGCCACAGAATGAAACCCTGGCTCAAAAAAGAAATCATTCACAATCTCATCATGCAGAGATAAACAGTGTTAATGTTTTGGTGCATCTGTATCTTTTCTTCTATGTAAAATAATATTTTAATATAATTTTGATCATACTGCCTATACAGCTTTTAAAATTGTTTCACCTATCATTTTAACTTGAATATTTTCCCATGTCATTAAGTACACTTAAAAACACAACTACAGGATGGGCGCAGTGGCTCACGCCTGTAATCCCAAAACGTTGGGAGGCCGAGACAGGCGGATCACAAGGTCAAGAAGTCGAGACCAATTTGGCCAACATGGTGAAACCCCGTCTCTACTAAAAATACAAAAATTAGCTGGTCGTGGTGGCAATCGCCTGTAGTCCCAGCTACTTGGGAGGCTGAGGCAGGAGAATCACTTGAACCTGAGAGACAGAGGTTGTAGTGAGCCAAGATTGTGCCACTGCACTCCACCTTGGCCACAGAGCAAGACTCCATCTCAAACAAACAAATGAACTAAACAAACAAAAAAACCCCACCACTTACAATGACTACCTATTACTCTATTCCATGTCTATACCATAATTCATTTAACCATTTTCTTATTGTTGGGCATTTACTTTATTCGAAATTGATCACCATCATATAAAAAACTACCGCTGAGTGCGGTGGCTCATGCCTGTAATCCCAGCACTTTGGGAGGCCAAGGCGGGCAGATCATGAGATCAGGAGTTCAAGACCAGCCTGGCCAACATAGTGAAACCCCGTCTCTACAAAAAATTAGCTGGGCGTGGTGGCAGGCACCTGTAATCTCAGCTACTTGGGAGGCTGGGGCAGGAGAATCACATGAAACCTGGGAGGCAGAAGTTGCAGTGAGTGGACACCGCACCACTGCACTCCAGCCTGGGTGACAGAGTGAGACTCCATCTCAAAAAAAAAAAAAAAAAAGAAAGAAACCACGTACACACACACACACACACCTCACACACTTTTTTTTACTTAGGAATCTTTTGGCTTTAAATTTGTTTTTTTCAGGATAGATCTTTAAAAGTAAAATTATTGATTCTAATGGTTTGGACATTTTTAAAGCTCTTAATTTCTATAGTCAAATTGCCTATTTGACTACGCCAGTTTATCCCCCTTCCATTTAGCTGTTGTGTGATGTCGGCTCAGCTGTTTTCTCTTTTCCTCTGCTACTGTTTTCATGCTGACTTTTGTGGGAACTTATCAGAACTCTTTTTGTAATGTAATTTATGATTATCTTTGCTTTTACCTCAACTAATCCATGCATCTAAGATTCAAACTAAAACAACTTTGGGATCAAGCTGAATCAAATGGTCCCTTAGATTTTTTCAGTTTCCTTAGAAAGAAATGTTGCCATTTATTTACTGGAAATGAGGAAGAAATAGATGATGATTTGGTATGTTTTCCAAGATGGCTATAGCATTAGTGCAAAAGGGTCACTCCCTGTGCCTGATGACACCAGTTTTAAACTTTAAAAGATTCTTGCTGGGCGCGGTGGCTCATGCCTGTAATCCCAGCACATTGGGAGGCCAAGGTGGGTGGATCATCTGAGATCAGGTGTTTGAGACCAGTCTGACCAACATGAAGAAATCCCGTCTCTACTAAAATTACAAAATTAGCCAGGTATGGTGGCACATGCCTGTAATCCCAGCTACTCAGAAGCTGGGGCAGGAGAATCGCTTAAACCTGGGAGGCGGAGGTTGTGGTGAGCCAAGATGGTGCCGTTGCACTCCAGCCTGGGGAAAAAGAGCGAAACTCCATTTAAAAAAAAAAAAAGATTCTCATATGCTGAATGTATGTGAAAGACTCATGTGTGATCTTCACATGCTGAGTGCATATACTCATGAGTGATTTGGGTTCGTTTCATCCAACTGGCTCCAGCTTCTTTGCATGCTGGTAGGAGACAGGCATTTCCTCTATTTTCTGGTCATTTCCTGCATGATTGTAGTTACTTTTCTGTGCATTTTTCTATGAGGCTCACGTCACGCAATAAAACAATCCTCATTTCATTCACACTATGATGGCTGACAGTGTGTTGAGGATATCAAGGGCTTGTTAGAACTGGTCTAGAACAGCACCAACAGTCTAAGGAGCAGGAAACAATCACCAGTCTCCAGGAGATGGCAGCAGGGCGCCAGGCAGTGCCTGCTGGGGGCAACCCTTGTGTGGCTGATGGCAGAAGTCTCAAGATGGCAGCTGTCTCAGTCCATTTGTATTTCTATAAAGGAATACCTGGGGCTGGGTAATTTATGAAGAAAAGAGGTTTATTTGGCTCATGGTTCTGCAGACTGTACAAGAAGTGTAACACCAGCATCTGCTTCTGGTGACTGCTATAGGCTGCTTCCACTCATGGAGAAAGACAAAGAGGAGCTGGCAGGTGCAAGCACATGGTGAGAGAGAGGAGAGATGCCAGGCTTTTTTTTTTTTTTTTTTTTTTTTTTTTTTAGATGGAGTCTCGCTCTGTTGCCCAGGCTGGAGTGCAGAGGCACGATCTCGGCTCACTGCAACCTCCACCTCCCGGTTCAAACGAATCTCCTGCCTCAGCCTCCCAAGTAGCTGGGACTACCACCATGCCCAGCTAATTTTTGTGTTTTTGGTAGAGACAAGGTTTCACCATGTTGGCCAGGATGGTCTTGATCTCTTGACCTCGCGATCCGCCCGCCTTGGCCTCCCAAAGTGCTGGGATTACAGGCATGAGCCACGGCACCCAGCCGCCAGGTTGTTTTTTTTTTTTTTTTTTAACAACCAGCTCTCATGGAAAATAATACAGTGGGCATTCTCTCATTACCACCAGGATGGCATCAAGCCCTTCATGAAGAATCTGTCTCCATGACTCAAACACCTCCCATTAGACCCTACCTCCAACACTGGGGATTAAATTTCAACATGAGATTTGCAGGGACAAACATCCAACCTCGAGCAGCAGCTAAGGATGGCACGAGGATTTTTGAATTTTTCTTTGCCAAGGAGCCACTAGGGCATGTGATGTATTTAAACTATTTCAAGACAGAATTCAGTGTTTATAGTTGCAGACCAGGAACCAGAAGAAGAAAGAGCACCATAAGCTCAGGGTCACAGTTTCTCAGAGGTTGGTTCCATTAGTGGACATGGGTGTAGGAGGAAAAGGATAGCTCTAGGAAGGTGTGAAATATCCAGTCATGCATCAAGAGCTCAGGTGATAGCTAGAAACCAGCCTCTCACAAAACAGAAGATGAAAAACTGCATGTCAGCACAAGTCAGAAAGATGACCAGTTTCTGTAGGAAGGAAATAGCAGTGGTTGGTTTTTAAGTCATTAGGTCAGGTTCAGGGCTCTGCCCTTTCTGGTGCGTAAAGGACCTAGGCCCCAGTAGACTGCATCTTAATTTCATCCAGAGACTGGATGTTTCTTCATTCATATGTTCAATGAACAAAGATTTATTGAGCACCTACTATCTGTGTTATCAGCTTCCTGGACACAGAGTAATGAGAACCAGGTGCTCTGAAGGAGCTCATCTGGACTCATTTAGTCCAGCAATACCTGATCAGCAAAGAACTTTGTTATTACATGAAACTATCATAATGTTATTATACAGATTATCATAATTTCCAGTGGAGACAGATTGGGATTTATTTCTCCAATGTAAAGCCCCAACAAATGGAATGCAAATCACCCTCGTCCGAGGACCCATCTGGTTTCTTGTGAAGGTGACTTAGCACCAAGTGGCCTGGAGGACATCAACCCACAATTAGGAAGAGCCCCTTGTACTCAATGCCAAAGCTGGGAGATGTGGACCCAGATGCAGCGTGGCAAAAATGACCCTAAGCGATGGCTCCATCTTTTGGGTGGAAAAAGGGATCTACAAATTTTCCTCCAACCCTGCCCTCATAACCATGACCTAGCTCTGCAAATCCAAACCCCAGAAAGGAAAATGCGTTTGATAACACGTAAAGGGAAGCCTAAGGCCCGGACTAGGGTAGGGCAAGGAAGAGCTGCACAATTCCAGCGGGCCTCTCCCTCGGGGTGGCTGCTTCTTACATTCTGTGCTCTAGGCCTCTCTTGCTGCACCTTCGTCCTGCCCTGGGAAAGAGACATAATCTAAACCTGAGACAGAAAAAATGTTTCTGGCCAAGCGCAGTGACTCATGCCTGTAATCCCAGCACTTTGGGAGGCTGAGGCGGGCGGATCAACTGAGGTCAGGAGTTTGAGATCAGCCTGGTCAACACGGAGAAATGCTGTCTCTACTAAAAATACAAAAATTAGCCGGGCATTGTGGCGCATGCCTGTATTCCCAGCTACTCTGGAGGCTGAGCCAGGAGAATCACTGGAACCTGGGAGGTGGACATTGCAGTGAGCCGAGATCCCGTCACTGTACTCCAGCCTGGGTGACAGAGTAAGACTCTGTCTCAATAAAAAGGAAAGATAAAAAATGTTTCTGCTTCATCAAATCTTTTTTCTCTTTCAAGGGAAGTTCTTTCGACATTTGGGCTGGTGACCCTATGTGTGCAGTGGGTCCCAAAACACAGCAATTGTTGCAGTAACCTTTTCACCATCACATAAGAAACAATGGGAAACCTTCCATTCTCTTTTGTATAGTAGGAGGGAGACTTCCTACTACATACTGTTCAATGTGCCCTTGACGCTCACTGAAACATTCTGTCTTAGAATCACTTCACGGTTAAAGAAATCAGGGATTTGAGCTTTCCAGGCCTGGAACAGCAGCTCCATCACCATAGCTCCTGTTACTGACTTCTTATCTGTAAAAGGCACGAGAGCTGTACCATCCTTATCCTTCCTCCTTTACAGAGAAAAAAAAGGCCGAGGGGTTCTGGCATTTGACCACATCACACACCAAGGAAATGACAGGGCCTGGATTTAGCCCAATCACTTTATTTCTGTCTTAACCCCAAACCAAAAGTATATGAGGCCTAAGAAAAGCTGGGGAGGTTGGCTGCTAGACACCCACCTCCTGCTAGACACTAAATTGAGCAAATCATTATTCTTAACAATAGGAAACATGGCTGCATGTTGCTATGTTAGAAAAGAACTGATTCAAACTCATTCTTGTTGATATATAAAAAAAGAAATAGCAGAATGTATTGAGTTAGGTTAAGAATTAAATAATTTAAAAATTAGTTTGTGCCCATAATTTCAGTCAGTAGAAAATATCTGGATCTCAGTTTTTCCAAAAAACACTTTGACTTGTTGACTTTAGTGATGACTCAGGTGATATTGGAGTTATCTCTACTTCAGGTTTGGAAGATAAATAAAGGGTAAATGATTACACTGTTCCTAATCAGATGTTTTTCAGGGAAAATGCTAGTCAATGCAAGTAATCACATTCATCTTTCCTGCCGGTTTCTGTCACCAAACTTTGATATCTTCAAAGCAAGGTGAGTGAGTGGCACCCTTCAGACAAGAAGGAAAAGGGCAGGTGAAATCATCATCTTCTAATGAGCCCCATGCTGTGCTTGCTGATGTCCTTGGACGTGGAGATTTTCAGAAGAGCCATGGCCTTACCATTGAAGGCTACACAGAGGCCACTGGAGTGAAGTAACTCATTGTACCTTATCACATTTAGGCACTTCTTTATCCATCATGTGGATTATTGGGATTGGAATGAGTCCCTTCAACAATGAGTCAATATTGAAGATTCTATGGATCCATTTATTGACACATATTGGGTATTCTCTGAACACATTCATTAACTTCAAAACTGTTTCTTGGACATTGTGCTAGGTGCTAAGGAAACACAAATGAAAGGTAGAATTCGTGTCTTCCGGGTGCTCACTGTTGGGTCTGATGCCATACAACTGTTGTGAACATGCAAGAGAAGTGTAGGCTGTGGTTCTTGCCCGCAGCCTGAGCAGCACAGTCCTGAGGTGGAAGCGTTTCCAGATGGCAGCGGTGTCCATGTCTTTTTTACTCTTGATTCCCAGCACCTGCCTGCTGCACAGCACCACTGGGCCCCAAACCTGAGCACTGATGGGGTGCTCTGGACCAGCCCATCACTCAATGCATAGCTTCCCTCTGCATCTGGTGTCTGCTTGAGGATGTGGAGCTATGTGGGCCTCTCCAGCACTCTGGCAGCCCATGGAATATTGTCGCTTCGCACTGATTACTAAGAGATTTTCTCTGCCTGCCTTGTAACCTCACCAGCAAACCCAGATTTTGCCCTCAGGAGCTACACAGTATCCAGACTAAATCCCTGGTCTCTATATTATGCTTTAGGTATTTAGAGACATCTGTGCTCTATCTTGTTCTCTTCTCTGGCCTCCAAGAACCCTATTCTTTTAGATACTTCTCAGGTGAATTAGTTTTGAGACTACATCATTATCCTATTGACCAGGCAGGACTAGCACCAATGATTCAATAATAGGATGAATCATCCTGTGATTAGAAGTGAAATTAATTCTATAGCTACCGAGGCTTATCTGGACCCTCAGAAGGATTAGCAGTGAAACCAACAAACAGGTCCTTCTTCTCCATAGATTGCCTTGATGAGACTTATTGGATGTTGAGAGGGAAAATGTATGAGGCTAATGGAAGACCCGTAAGAGGGGCTAAGCCTTCCACTCTACTTGGATCTGGCATGGCTCTTGGCTGTAGCATTTCTTCACTCATTGTAGTCTGATCTCTTGAATACACTTAAGGATGTGGGGAGTCTTTGCCTCTCACGTTCTTGCTAGAATAGTAGAAGGAGACAACTTGAAGTTGAGAGAGTGCAGATGACAGGGCCAGGGCAGCTAATTGGGTGATTTTCTATCTGTGCTGGGATTATGCAACAGGCAGCGAGATCATTTGGTGGGTTAAGCAACAGATTGAGTTTCCAGAATACAGATTCTAATGGAGACTGAGCCGTGGGAGGATGGATACTTGCAGGAAGGTTAGGGTAAGATGGAGAGAGGCTGGGTGGGTGGGAGGTAGGGGCATGGGAGCAACCTGATTAGGCGCTTACATTGAGAATCAGGATAAACCCAAGTCCAAACCCTGGTGCCACTATTTACTTGCTATGGGACCAACCTGGAGAGTAAATCTGGCTATGCCATTGTTTCTTCATCTGTTAAATATGGGCAATGAAACCTGGCTAGAAGAGATGAGCTGAAAATAGTGAGATAACATTTGCAGAGCGCTCAGCGTAGGGCCTGGCACATGGTAAGCTAACAATAAATGGGAGTTTTGGTGTGTTTTTTTTTTTTTTTTTGAGATGAAGTTCCACTCTGTCACCCAGGTTGGAGTGCAGTGGCACGATCTCGGCTCGTCACAACCTCCACCTCCTGGGTTCAGGCGATTCTCCTGCCTCAAGCTCCCGAGAAGCTGGGATTACAGGTGCCCAACAAACCCAGCTAATTTTTGTATTTTTAGTAGAGATGGGGTTTCACCATGTTGGCCAGGCTGGTCTCGAACTCCTGACCTCAGGTGATTCACCTGCCTCAGCTTCTCAAAGTGCTGGCAATACAGGTGTGAGCCACTGTGCCCAGCCACTAGATGAGAGTTCTTAATAGCCCTAATAACACACTAGTACTGACAGCACAAAGAGCTAACATAGGGAACACTAAAGACCAAGCTATGGTCTTTGCCTTCCAGTGGCCCATCTCTAGAAGCAATACATCCTAGTGGCTAAGAGTCAGGGCTCCTTAGCTTTATCACCTCGGGCAAGTTACTTAGCCTTGCTGCATCCCATTTTATTCTTCTGTAAAAGGAATAGCAGCAATGTATACTTCAAAGGACTAATGAGAACATTAAATAAGATAGTATGCTTAGCATTCCTGGCATCAGGTAAGCGGCTATATTACCACTTACTCGGACAGTAGAAATATAAGAGGTAAAGACTGCTAGGGGCCACATCTTTTTGCATCAACATGCTGGCAAAGAGAGGGCTATATGTCAGCAACTTCCTATAACAAGAGAAACCAGAAAGAAAGGGGGATGGATAGTGGTATTATAGGAAAATAACTGATCAATCTTTCCCTACTTTTTGTGCTGCTACAAAGAACACCACTGTTCCTGAGCTACAAGGAACAGTTGCCAACTCAGGGAAACAATGAGGCAATACTGAAGGAGAAGAGGGCAGTAGGCATAGACCAGAGTGGCTGGTGGGGGCTCGGGACGCAGAGCACACAGCTAAGTCTCCGGCAAGGTGGAGAAGCGGGCACAGAGGTGCTGGGGCACTGAAACAGAGTTCAGGAGGGAGAGGGGAGCAGCTCAGAAGCTTCTCTGGGAGGAGATTCCAGTAGACATTTAAAAGATTGTGTTTGCCCAGAGGACTTTCAGCTTCCCACTGGAGTCTGCGAGTATAATCACCAGGCTGGCTTCCCAGGTGTGGGTCCTGTAAAAGGACCCTGTGCTTGTGGAATGCCCTGCTGTAGCTGTTGCTGTCTTGAAATTCTTTTTTGTTGTTTGTGTTTTGAGACTAAGTCTCGCTCTGTTGCCCAGGCTGGGGTGCAATGGCACCATCTCGGCTCACTGCAACCTCCGCCTCCTGGGTTTAAGCAATTCTCCTGCCTCAGCCTCCCAAGTAGCTGGGGTCACAGGCGCCTGCCACCATGCCCAGCTAATTTTTGTATTTTTAGTAGAGACGGGGTTTCACCATGTTTGTCGGGCTGATCTCGAACTCTTGACCTCGAGTGATCCACCTGCCTCGGCCTCCCAAAGTTCTGGGATTACAGGTATGAGCCACTGAGCCTGGCCGAAATTCTTAATGAATTTTTAGCAAGGGCCCTGGGTTGTCATCTTGCATTGGGCCATGTGAATCATATAGCCAGTCATTAATCGTAACTGGTACATTAAAGAAACCAGGTGCTGTAGGATTTGCAGGAGAGTGAGGGTGCGGGGAGTGGATCGTTTCCAGCTGAGGGTGGACAGGGGGAGAGGTAAGAAGGTATCATGGATAGGGGACACTTTGAATTGACCCTGAGGGTTGGGCAGGATTTGGACAGATAGAAATGGGAGTTTGGCTATTCGTTGGAAGGAATACGTTGGCAAAGTTGAGGGTAGGAGTATGGACCTTGCTTAAAGGGAATGGTAGAGATCCATTCCCTGTGAACCTGGAGCCCCTGCTCTGGAGCCGCTCACATCTGGAATGCCATGCTCAGCTGGCCTTTCTACAGGGAGCCTTTTTCAAGGCTGTTTATTTGAGACAGAGTTTTTGCTCTTGTTGCCCAGGCTGGAGTGCAATGGTGTGATCTTTGCTCACTGCAACCTCTGCCTCCTGTGTTCAAGTGATTCTCCTGCCTCAGCCTCCCAAGTAGCTGGGACTTCAGGTGCACGCCACCATGCCCAGCTAATTTTTTGTATTTTAGTAGAGACGAGGTTTCACCATGTTGGCCAGGATGGTCTCAATCTCCTGACCTCGTAATCCTCCTGCCTTGGCCTCCCAAAGTGCTGGGATTACAGGCATAAGCCACCATGCCCATAGGCCTTTTAAATCCTTTCCTCCAAGTACCACTCTGCTAGGTGCCTGCCCAAGTAATAAATTAAATCCAGCCATGTTATTCATCGAAATCTCAAAGCAAGGGTGGGGAAAAGCAGTTTTTTAAAGAATCAGAAATTTTCCATTGAAAATATGGTTCCTGAGGTTGGGCATGGTGGCTCACATCTATAATCCCGGCACGTTGGGAAGCCAAGTTGGGAGGATCACTTACACCTAGGAGTCTGAGAACAGCCTGGTAATATAGTCAGATGCTGTCTCTAGGAAAAACAAAAACATTAGCTGTTATGGTGGCATGCACCTGCAGTCCCGGCTACACTGGAGGCTAAGGTGGGAGGATTGCTTCAGCCCGGGAGGTGGAGGCTGCAGTGAGCTATGATCGTGCCACTATACTCCAGCCTGGGCGACAGAATGAGACTCTGACTCAAAAAAAGGGGGAAAATTGTTATTTAAATAAAAGAAAAATACTTAAAATAGGTCAAATAATAGATCAAATACAGACCAACGGAAAAATCAATTAAGAATCCCTATCAAGCTGGGTGTCATGGCATGTGCCTGACAGTTTCATCAGCATCTAGGAGTATCTAGTAGCTGATGAGACTACTAGGAGCCCAGGAGTTTGAGTCCAGCCTGGGCAATGTAGCAAAACATCATGGAAAGAAAAGAAAAGAGAGAAAGGAACAGAAAGAACAGAACAAAACAGAACAAGAGAAGGGAGGGGAAGGGAAGAAGGGAAGGGAAGGAGAAAGAAAGAGAAAAGAAAGAGAAAGAAAGAAAGAAAAGGGAGGGAGGGAGGAAAGAAAGGGAGGGAGGAAAGGAAGGAAGGAGGGAAGGAAGGAGGGAGGAAGGGAAGGAAGGAAGGAAAGAGGGAGGAAGGGAAGGAGGGAGGAAGGGAAGGAAGGAAGGAGGGAAGGAAGGGGAGGGAGGGAGGGAAGGAGAGAAAGGAAGGAAGAAAAAGAAAGAATGAAAAATAAAGGAAGAGAGAGAGAGGGAGGGAGGGAGGGAGGGAAAAGAAAAGATATATAATTCTCATCATCTAACTTTCTCTCTTGGTCTTGTGTATCATAATTCTTGTGTAGGGATTTGCACAGCCGGCAAGTGGCAGAGGCAGAATTCTGAACAGGATCTAAATCCTGCCCTGTGTTCTGTGCCCCACAGTGCGACAACTCCTGCGTCACTCCATCAGGGTGGGTTTCCCCAAACAGAAGCCTAGACTGGTTCAGGAAACAGTGCAAGTGCTGGCACTTATAAAATCACCTAGAATCATGCCATAGTGACACAGATGAGAGACAACATAAAAAGAAAAAGGCATTTTTCTTTTAAAAACCTCACCATTTCTACCTTCAACTGGCTGTCCTGAAGTCTGCGTTTGAAATTGTATGTCTATGAACATGATATGACTGCCATTATTTATGTTAACTCAGCATATCATGAATGACATGCTAATGTATATTTTGTTGCATTCCTTGATTTGCATAAATATTGAGCTTTGACACTTGTTCAATAAGCTTTGATTTTTCTTTCCTTTTTTTTTTTGAGGTGGAGTTTTGCTGTTGTTGGAGCGGAAGCCTGGAGTGCAATGGTGCTATCTCGGCTCATGGCAGCCTCCGCCTCCCAGGTTCAAGCGATTCTCCTGCCTCAGCCTCCCAAGTAGCTGGGATTACAGGTGCCCACCAGCACATCCAGCTAATGTTTTGTATTTTTAGTAGAGATGGTTTCACCATTTTGGTGAGGCTGGTCTCAAACTCCTGACCTCAGGTGATCCGCCTGCCTAGGCCTCCCAAAATGCTGGAATTACAGGCGTGAGCCATGCGCCTGACCAAGCTTTGATTTCTAATATGTGTCCCATGTCTACTAAAAGTTTGAGCTCCCGCTCCTAAATTAAACAGGACAGAGCTGCATAGATAGCTAGTATGTTCTGTGTACAGTCCCAGAGCCTCGGCCTCCTCCAAGCTGTGCTGTGGCTCTCTGGGTACTAGTGGGACAGGCCACCACCTGCAGTGGGGCTGGCAGGCAGGACCAACAGGCCTGGCCTGGGAGCAGAGCCTGCGTGGTCAATGGGAACGAGAGTGTCACTGAGACTTGACTTGTGGCTCAACCCTACTGTGAACTCCTATCTGAGTTCTATTACAAGTGGGACCTGAAGAGGCTGTCCCTAGAGGACCTCAGGAAGTTCAGGCATCTCTGTTTTGATGCCTATTGACTGCTTGTAACACAGCAGAGAAAAGAGACCTTCTTCTGCAGTCTGCACAGATCTCTGTATGGCCCTGGGCACTTGTGGCCTCAGCTGGGGCAGGAGAGGGCAGGGTCCAGCAGGTGGGCAGTGCCTAGGGTGAGGAAGCGGTGCCCAGAATCAGGTAGCAGTGTCTAGGGGAGGGCAGCAGGGCCCAGGGCAGGCAGTCATGCCCCGAAGAAGAGAGTGGTCCTCTCCTAGTCCCCATGTCATTTGATCACTGTTGAAAAGCAATGTCCACTCACTGTATACTAACACACAGCATATTTTGAGAAGTGAACAGAGAATACAACATTTAACCAAAAGAAATTTGGGAACATCACGTTTAAGAAGAGATAGGAAATGGTTACCAAGGACAGTTTAAACCAACAGAGACTACGCGTAAAGAGATTGTAGAGACGGGTGGCAGTATTATCTCTTTGCAGAAAATCCAAAACTAGCAGGTCAAGGTTCAGTGACTTTCTGATGTAATGAAGTTTAAGTTCAAAGTCCTTTTGTTATTCATGTGTCCAGGGAAAAGTTATTGACCAGAGAACCCCAGCCAGGAATCGGGGAATACAGTGTGACCTGGAGTGGATGGGGGTAGGACCTAGGACACCCTAGTTTCCTTCAGCACTTCCCTTCCTTTGCTGTGAATGAATGATTGGTGTTTTCTCAGTTGAACATAAAGTGCTTTGTGAGCGCCGCTTTGTAACATGTCAGCTGCCTTCTCATTCCCACCTCACCCCATCAGGTTACCTGAGCTCCAGCCCTGAGTAGAAATTCTAACCCACCAGCAGCTTCAAGCCTCAGTTCTGCCTCTGCTCTGTCACTCTCTGATGGTGTCCCTAACACACACACACACACACTCATGGCACGTGTGCTTTTCCATTTACAGGCCAGGCTGTTTTGGGGTGCACAAGGGCAGAGCCAGGGAGCGGACTACTCTGGAAACAGGGCTCTAACCATGGGACTGCCAGACTTTGATTTTTTGCAATTACTCCAATGACTTAGTTTTTTCCTTAGCCAAGACATTTTGTTAAATATTAAAATAAGTGTGATTTAACATTCTTATCATTCTAACACTTTCATTCAGATACGTTCATCCACTAGAAAAGAAGCCACCCTTCAGACTGTCATGTATTGGGTCTGGAGCAGCTGCAATTTACTGCTGTCCTGACAGCACAGGCCTGCTTGGCCCAGCTCTTCTACTATGGCCTGCTTTTTGTGCTGTGAACAGCAGCGGCCAGGGTCTGGTTCCGTGCCATATATACAGGAGGTGGCAATGACATTTTTCAAAGAAGCATGTGTGTGAACAAGGAGGAAGGGGAGGTGGAGAAGGTGATGAAAGCCATGCTGCAGGAATGGAGAAAACCAGAACCAGGTCAGGCACGGTGGCTCATGCCTGTAATCCCAGCAATTTGGGAGGCCAAGGTGGGTGGATGACTTGAAGTCAGGAGTTTGAGACCAGCCTGGCCAAGATGGTGAAACCCCTGTGCCTCTAATCCCAACGATTAAGCGATTCTCATGCCTCAGCCTCCTAAGTAGCTGAGATTATAGGAGGTGAAGGTTGCAGTGAGCTGAGATTGCACCATTGCACTGCAGCTTAGGCGATAACAGAGAAAACTCTGGTCCCCCCACCAAAAAAAGAGAGAAAACCAGGCCGGGCACAATGGCCCATGCCTGTAATCCCCGCAATTTGGGAGGCCGAGGCAGGTGGAGCACCTGTTTGGGAGGCTGAGGCAGGTGGATCACCTGAGGTCAGGAGTTTGAGACCAGCCAGGCCAACATGGTGAAGCCATGTCTCTACTGAAAAGAAAAAATTAGCTGGGCGTGGTGGCACACACCTGTAATCCCAGCTACTTGGGAGTCTGAGGCGAGAGAATTGTTTGAACCCAGGAGGCGGAGGTTGCAGTGAGCCAAGATTGTGCCACTGCACTCCACCCTGGAAAACAAGAGCAAAACTCAAAAGAAAGAGAGAGAGAGAGAGAGGGAGGGAGGGAGGGAGGGAGAAGGAAGGAAGGGAGGGAGGGAGGGAGGGAGGGAGGGAGGGAAAGAAAGATAAAAAGAAGGGAGGAAGGGAGAGATAAAGATAAAGTAAGAGTAAGAAAGAAAGAAAGGAAGGAAGGAAACAGATCCACCTTCAGCAAACACTAGGTCAGGAGGCCTGATAGATTGGAAGGCACTTCTTAAGCTGTGTGTTGGGAGGAGTCTGAGCACAGGGACAGCTGCAGAGGGTGGACTGGAGCACAGCCTGCACCCCCACCCTGCACTGGCTGGAATCCTCTGTGTAGGGGCTGGGCTCTGGGCATCCTTGGTTACCCGGTGCCTCCTAAAGTTCATGCACATAGTGGCTGTTTAATTAAACAATCGAGTATATTGTTTTAAACTCATTTTTCTAATTGAAAAAAATCTACAATTGCTCCTGATTGTTTCCTTATACCAAATCAGAGCTTTCACAAGTGAGCTCTCCCTCTCTCTTTTTGATGTAATTGTGCCCACTTCATCTCTACATCAGAGACATGAGCTTTTCTCTGGCTGACAAGAGTACAGAGAGCTCCTGCCTGAGTCATATAGGGAGGGGTGAGCGTGAACAGGTCTGGGCACCACTTGGAAAGGGGAGTTAGTATGATGCCAGAATAACCTGGAAGCTGGACAGCAACCAGTCAGCTTCCCTGCATGACTCTACATAGCTGATAGAATGTGGCCGGGCGCGGTGGCTCACACCTGTAATCCCAGCACTTTGGGAGGCTGAGGCAGGTGGATCACCTGAGGTCGGGAGTTTGAGACCAGCCCGATTAACATGGAGAAACCCCGTCTCTACTAAAAATACAAAATTAGCTGGGTGTGGTGGCGCATGCCTGCAATCCCAGCTACTCGGGAGGCTGAGGCATGAGAATTGCTTGAACACAAGAGGCGGAGGTTGCGATGAGCCAAGATCGTGCCATTGCACTCCTGCCTGGGCAACAAGAGCGAAACTCCGTCTCAAAGAACAAAAAAAGAAAAGAAAAAGAATGTGCACCGGCTCCATCCTTTCCACAGCAGACAGTGCACTCTCATGGAAACAGAGGAGCGTTTTAAAAAATGTTCTCTTCTGGTTCTGGGCTTTCTGTCTTGAGGTTTTTGTAGGCTATACCTTCAAGCTCAGACTATGACAGGTACTCAGACCAGCCAGTGGGCTGTTGCCGGCAGTCAGGAGTCCAAGTCATCCAAAAATTGGAAGTATCACTGTTTACAGCAAACAATGAATATATTGTATTATCTAAATTGTAAAAATCCCTTAATATTTATCATAAGGAGATTCATAAAATGAATAACTACACAACAAACAAAAAGAGACAAACAAAAATTTTAAAAAGAATAGAGCAAACAGGCCGAGCACGGTGGCTCCTGCCTGTAATCCCAGCACTTTAGGAGGCCAAGGCAGGAGGATCGCCTCAGCCCAGGAGTTCAAGACCTGCCTGGGCAACATAGTGAGACTCCCATCTCTCTGTAAAAAAATTAATAAACAGCATTTCAAAATAATAATAATACATTTTTAAAGGAATTCAGCAAAGAAAAGTAGGGGAATTTTGCCAACATATGATTAGAAAAAAATTTTTAAAGATATCTTCAACCTCATGTCTACAAAAAATGCAAAAATTAGTCAGGTATGGTGGCTGCACCTGTGGTCCCAGCTACTTGGGAGGCTGAGATAGGAGGATGGCTTGAGCTTGGGAGGTCAAGGCTGCAGTGAACCATGACGGCGCCACTGCAGTCCAGCCTGGGTGACAGAGTGAGACCCTGTCTCAAAAAAAAAAAAAAAAATATATATATATACACACACACACACACACACACACACGTATATACATACATACATGCATATGTGCATATATAGATATATGCATATATATACATATATATATATTCCCCCCCAGAGGCCTCTAAGACCATAACCATTTAAGTAACCTATCTTCTTAGTATGTATAAGTGTTTAACATTAATCATTAAAATAAATGAAAAACTGAAATGAAAGCCAATTCTAATTATGCTTATGCTTTTGCCATATAGTCAGTACATGTGATAATTTAATAGGCCGGGCGTGGTGGCTAACACCTGTAATCCCAGCACTTTGGAAGGCTGAAGTGGGTGGATCACTTGAGGTCTGGAGTTTGAGACCAACCTGACCAACGTGGAAAAACCCCACCTCTACTAAAAATACAAAAATTAGCCAGTCATGGTGGCGCATGCCTGTAATCCCAGCTACTAGGGAGGCTGAGGCAGGAGAATCGCTTGAACCCGGG